AAGCTGCTGGCATTCCATACTCTAGCTGAGGTATTACAAAGACACCAAAGAGCCTTTCGAAAAGTTCGGGAGGAAATATTTTAAATGCACGTCTTATCCAGTGTAGAGTACTAGTTGCCTTCTGGACCATCTTTCTACAGTGTTCTGTTGACGATAGATTTGTGGTCGTCCATACATCCAGATCTCTGTGTCTTTCCACAGTTTCTAACCTCGTCCCGTTAATATAGTACTGGTGTTTGGGAGAGGCATTGCGGCCGGTGTTTAGGTGCAAAACCACGCATTTGGACACGTTAAACTTCAAAAGTCATCTGTTCGACCAAGCACACAGTTTGTTGATGTTTGACTGCAACTTCTCTGAGTCATCATCACACTTGACTTCACTCCATATTTTTATGTCATCCGCGAACATGAGAGCCTCGTAATTCACTTCGCTGACGCTGTCATTAACATAAATCAGGAAGAGTACTGGGCCTAAGCCAGAACCCTGTGGGACACCACTTTCCACCTTTACCCATTCCGAGGCAGAATTGCTAACGACGACTCTTTGTAGTCTGGAGGACAGAAAACTCCTGATCCACTTAAACATTCATCCTTGAATTCCTACATCCCAGATCTTCTGTAAAAGAAGCCTGTGTGGGACACTGTCAAAGGCCTTCTTGAAGTCAAAAATATGACATCTACTGGAAAATCCTTATCGGTAGCTCGTGTCCATTTCTCGTGCGAGTAAAGAACGCTCGTTATGCAGGAGCGCCCTGGACGAAAGCCGTGTTGGGCATCACACAATATTTTGTTCTGTTCCAGGTATTTCATCAAGTGCCTTTTGATAATTCGTTCCATTATTTTACACGAGATGCAAGTAAGACTGACAGGACGATAATTTCCGCAGTCAAGTCATGAGCCTACTGTATGGATCAGAGTAATGAGTACGCACTTCCATTCTTCCAGGACCTCGCCGTCTTCAAATGACTTTCGAAATATTGCGGATAAGGGTTTGCACAGTTCATTAGCAAGTTCACGAAGTGCTAGGGCGGGAATTCTATCTGGGCCAGGCGATTTGGCAGGTTTCAGCCGGAGTAGCTCGGCCCTAACTATGGTAGATGAAAAGAGTGGTTCCTCAGTTAAGGAGGGTAGGGAGGGGATAGGATGGGGGAGGGTACTGGGAGGAGAGGTTGGCTGGCGAATGGATGGATGGATGGATAAACATAGAACTAGGTTCTCGGGTGAAGACGGACTGAAAGAAGTCCGAACTAAGGAAGAAATCAGTCGAATCGTAGGAATTAAGGTGTTACTAATTCGGTCGAGCGAGCTGATCGGAAGCCGAGGAAAAAGCTATACTTTAGTGACGCAATTTTGTCAGTCTCGAGTATTAACGTTGAAAAAACTATGTCGTGGTCTGAGCCCCCGAGTGGGTCTAGAGATGACACTGAAAAAGGTATGCAGCCTCTACGGAAAATTAGGTCATGTCTGCTTGATCCTCAGATGGGAAAATCAACAACCTGACTCCTAATTGTGCAATAATTTACCGTACTATCAAAACAGGTATTAGCTAAAAGCCCAGACACGTGTGTTTCGCCGATCTTATGCCACTGCCTGACGCAGATGAGAGGGGTTCGGCTCGTCTGTGGGTCCCCCAGCTTTCCCCGAGTGTTTTCTGGTACACGAACTCCAGTGTAAACTTGCCTTGTTTAATTTCCGAGGAAATTAATGCGCGAATTCGGAGTAAATCTTTCGAAACAGACCTTTTCAGGCACGGTCCGAAGTTTGATATGAATATTTGAGCTGAAATCCATAAGCTACAGTGTTGTTAGTGCGGTACACCATTGCAAAATTCTATACTACTGGCTGCCTGTTGGCGGTTTGTAAATACTAAGCGGTTATTCCGCAGTAGCTGATGGATTTCTGCTCAAATATTCGTATCAAACTTCGGACCGTGCCTGAAAACGTCTGTTTCGAAAGAGTTACTCCAAGTTCGCGCATTAATTTCCTCGGAAATTAAACAAGACTGACTCCTAATCTTGACATCCACAGTCTCAAGAAGGCCTTTAGACCTCCTGGAGCCGGAAAGCGGAGACCAGCGAACTTCAGGGAGATTGAAGTCACCCTAAACCAATTGATACTTAAGGCTTAAGTCGCCCGCAGCATGAAATGCCATTGAGAGTAAATGACCAATATCCTCACTGGTGTTGAGAGGGCGATAGACACGGCCAATGAGAAAGGAAAACTTATTTTTAATGCAACTTGGAGCAAGCAGCTGCCACCTACCGCGGAAAAATGTGGCGAGTACAGAGAGAGAAATATAACTGTTTGCCAAACGTAGATGCAAATCCCCTTACTACGACTGTCTTGACGATCATTACGAGTGCAACTATAGCCTAGAAGAGGGATTTCGGAATCAGCTACGGAAGCTGATTCCCATGTCTCAGTTACTAAGACAATATCTGGGCAGTGGACGAACACCAAAGTCTGAAGAAGAGACATCATATTTAGTAAGGAATGATTGTTTGGCTCTGGGTGACCATTGCTTCTGGTGACCATTGTTGGCTAGCTCGTTTTCTGCCGGAAATCCACGGGCTGGGTGCTGTAATTTATTCCCGTCGGCGCGAAGCTGAGGAGCGGATGAATCAACTGACCGCGTATTGACCTTAGTATGAAGAATGCATTGGTAAAAAAGCCGTGGAGGACAAATGATGGGGCGTGGGGGACGCACTGCTTGCATTGGGATAGAAATTATATTTAGAGGCGGGAATGTTGGCATATTTGGGAATAGGGCGAGAGAATAACAGATGCAAAGCAGAAGTTTCCCGTGAATGAGGAAACATCCAAGTAATAGGGAGAGTGCTTTAGAGAGGATTTAAGATAAAGAAGACAACCACCCCCATGCCTAGTCGTGCGATCTTGGCGATAAAAATCGAAGTCATCTATGAGAAGGGCAGAGTCAGGAATTAGAGAATGGGCAGGACAGAGAATTATTCGGGGATATAATTGGAGCTGCGGGGTTTGTAGACGTGCTGGGCTGAACAGACTTGTTAGATCTAAGAGAAGGCGTCGTACCCCTAAACGGAACTGTACTACCTCTCTTTTGGGTCGGAGTCTGATTCAATTTTCGAGTCTCACCGTTCTGACGCCAAGCCACGGGTGACTTAACGGTAGACCTTACAGCACCCAGTTGGACAATAGATGTTCTCGGTATAGCTGATGTAGACGGATTTTCATGTGACTCAGCGGGACTATCCGGAGGATACGAAACGACAAATGGGGCTGCTGCTGCTGCTGCAGCTAGTTTAGGGGCAGGCAAATGCGTCAAGTGGCTTGAGTGAGATGGAGATGTAGGAGAAAGAGGAAGGAGGGAGTCAGATATCGCAGGAGTAGGACAAGCTAAATCCTCACGGCCACTTGTATTATGACCGAGTTGGGGAGCATTAGACTGAGAAGCAGTGGGTTTACGTGAGAATAGAGACGTGATTCTACGCTCCATAGAAGTAAGATCATGACAAATGAAAAATTTTGCCTTTTCTAGGCACGCAGTGACACTCTCTCGATGGGTAAAGATTGTGCAAACCTCGATTGATGAAAATAATTTGACTAAGATGGGTGGATTTTTGCTACGGGAGGGCAAGCGTTTGGTATCGGCTATTTTGTAGTTGAAAGCACATGAATACAGAAAACTGGTCGCAACATCAATTGGCCGAGCAGATCGAGGAACATTTTTTAGCAGGAAGTTGTAAGAACGCTTCTGCCTATCACTAGATTCAGTGGCGATCAGGTGAACAAGTGAGTTTAGAAGCCTACATTCTTCAGAGGGAATATCGGAGATGTTCCCGTCGAATAAATGTCCAAGAATTGTCAGCAAAGTGCCAAACTTTAGCATAAAGTCATTGCAGTGGTCAAGTGCAGACAGATTAAGCTGCCGACCAATTACAACGGGTGACGACTGACTAGTAATATCATCTGACCTAGATATAGGTAAAGCTTCTGACTTACGTTTAGTTGGGCCATGCTTACTTACAGAAGCCGAGAGCTTACGTCGACCAGTGACTTTTGGTCTCATCTTGTCTCGAGGCAAGTTGCGATTAAGAAAACAGAGCCCTTCGTAGTCACCTCCAGTCGTGCGACGTCGGTCGATGATTGGGCCTCCGTTATATACCGCCACCTACAGGCCAGTCCTGCTCGCTTTTTTCTGTTATTATTTTTCAAGAGGGGTTTTTTTTCTCCTGTAAAATTAATCCAATCATTTTTAACTTTTTCTAAGGAGTTTTTTTCACATCTCAATCATCATGTTTCTCAATGGACTTCTAATTTAGAAACTAGGAATTGCATTTTGTAAAGATTCGGCCTACCTCGTCTAAAACTCGCATGCAAATTTATTTTAATTTGCTTTGATGGGACCCCGACGGGTCTTTAATAAAAATTATCTATCTATCTATCTTATAACTGCCGCCTGTCCTGATTCTGACATTACCCCTGACGATGGACTCCTGTACGAGTCTGAAAGCTAAGGATAATGAACGAAGTGTTCCGGTGCTCGACGCTTCTTCTTCTTCTTCTTCTTCTTCTTCTTCTTCTTCTTCTTCTTCTTCTTCTTCTTCTTCTTCTTCTTCTTCTTCTTCTTCACTTAAGAAAGCTTCTGGCAGACAAGTTGACTGAATTTCAGCTAGGGGCTAACGATGTAAAATTAAATTACAACAGTTAAAGAGAAATCGGATGCACAAAATGAGAATTGCAGAGTGCGATTACTGAACAACGGGCATAGACTAGAAGAACTCAAAAGGAGATGGCAGCAGGCAGTTCTGAGAGAAGAGGCCTGTATTTAAGGAAATTCAACCAAAAAACAAGGGCTAAAATCGTTAGATCTCACAGAAAAACCACTTAAAATAATATTCGCCACTTATCTTCAAATTTAAAACCAGCGGCTTGACCTTGATACACGAGTTGAGGACCACGGTAATCGTAGCTCTCAGTAGGTATCGCGTCCGATCCGGCGCTTTTCCGCTGGAGAGCTGTTACAAGGCCCTGATGGTTTCGTGGAGTGAGGGCATTGGGCCGGGGCCAATGTTGGTCTCCACCTGAGGCTGATAGGCGATGGCGGCGTCGGAGATGTTGGGGGTATGACAAAGGACGCCCCTGCAGTTTTCGGCCCATATCTGTAGAATTTGTGTCATCTTAGTGAGTAGGAAATTGTAGTTGGTGCTGAGAAAAGATGCAGTATCGTTGGCTTGCGGACCGTATACAGCTTCGATTGCGGAGAAGAACATAGTCCATTCGCTGCGATCCGCGTAACCTTGGATCTGCTCGGTCTTGCTTGCTGTCCAAGCGTTTTGCACCCTGCGCAGCCGCTGTCGCACAAGGGGATGACTACGGTAGAAAGCTGCTTTGCTGTCTTCGGTGGGGTGTTCGACGTAGGCTTTGTGCAGGCGGTTCTTCCCGGAGAACAGGTCGTTGATGGCAGCTTCGTTGTTATCAAGTTGGTCCTCGTGCCGACGACGTGCACTACTGAGAACGGCCAGGGCTGTCGACTTGACTAATTAACGGCGGCGGCATCAATAATTAGCAGGTTGTCTAGCCGTTGAGACAGCTCATTGCTAAAGTGGGAATAGTGAGCAAGCAAAGAAATCAAGGCACCCGATATCGCCTTTGTCACCATCACGTCTCGCCGGTCTCGCATCCGGATGAGGATATAATCCAGCCGGTGTCACTAACGCAACCGAAGAAACATCCAGTTGGCCTTCTCTCGCCTCAGGAGGTAGAAGAAGTTTTTGTCCAGGATGAGCTGGTGTTCGCCGCTGGTTCGTAGAAGGAGCAGGCCCATGCCATTGGAGCCGTTAAATTCATGGGAACCCAGCACTCCTCTGCTGGCAGCATGGTTTGTGCCGTCGTGGGCGTTGAAATTACCAAGGACAATCAACTTATCCGTCTTCGACACAGTCGCCAAGAGGACAAGCAGGCCGTCGTAGAATTCGTCCCTTGCGGCGTCGGGGCTGGTCATCGGGGGAGCGTAGAGGCTGCTGGTGTTGACGAAGTTATATTCCTAAAGATGCAGATGCTGGCTCATTAGACGATCGTTCGTAACCTGTGGCAGACAGGACGGTTGTCGCATGATGGCGTTCCGACTGGCAAAGATGATACCCGCCCCCCGTCGTTCTGCCTTGGGGCGATCGCTCCAGAGGTAGGTGTAGCCGGCACCAACCTCCTCCAGTTAGCCTAGTTCGGAGAACCTGGTTTCTCTGAGTGCAGCGATGCCCACTTTGTAGCGCGCCAGTTTCCTAGCCACGAACGCCGTCCTCCGTTCCGGTCGGTTGCTCGTCGGGTTGTCTAAAAGGAAACGAACATTCCATACTGCCAGAGTGTGCGGACTCAACCTAACAGTCCGGCAAGTGGGACAGCGGGAAAGAGGGGAAGGAAGGAAGGAAGGGAGGAGGAGGAGGAGAGTGTAATGTTTCGATTTTGGTTTTCTTCGACCGTGAGTTTGACGTCTGTGATTACGGTCGGCCTGCAGATGGCGTAGATCCCCAGCATTTGTTTAGGGCACCTTTTCTACCCCTTCCTCCTCGCGGGGGTGAGCAGTGCTATCCCTACATAGGGTTGTCCAGTTGCGTCAAGCGCTGCTGAACTTCACTATGGGCCACGTCTTTATTTAGTGGAATAACAACCCGAGTTATTCTGCGACAGCCTACGACATCACCGCAAGCTTGTGGCCTCCTGCGGTGTAACAGACGGAGCCTCGTCTCGGCTATGTTGATTCGAATATCCCTCCGGTCAACGGAGTCCACATTACCGTGCTTGCAGATGTACACACGGATACCCTCACCTGGTTTAGCCCGACAGTCGAGGCGGTTACGGGGGTTTGGCCGCTTGGCAGAGCCTAGTTTCGGGAGCCATCTGTGAGAGTTTGGTGCTATCAAATTGACACCAGGCGTGGTCTGCAGCTGCGACCAACTGAGCGACCTATTACGATCGTCACGAGAACCCACCGCTGGACAACCTACAACCCAGATTTATTGATAGTCTCACAGAGAACACTCTTTTAAATTTCAAGTATATATGACTAATCATAACCACAGACAATCTGTCCCGTTCTGTTTAATATGGACAATCAGGGAGCTGTGAAAGTTTTGTCGTCTATTTTATACAAATAGATTGGCGTGTGCTAGTAATTTGCTCACTGGAAAGAACGGCGGTGCTTTCGTACGTGTGGACATAGATTGAGGTTGGTCGTCTCCCAGATATGTGTCTAAAGTTTTTGTAGAACAGTTGGAAAGTGATTTCCTTGGTCATTTGAATGTTGGACGCGTAATTTGCCGACGCGCGTGCTGGGTCTGGAGAAATTGCTCACGGACAGTAATAGTGGCAGACATTGACAGTCAACGGGCAAGCGGTGGCGACAGTTTTGACGTACCGTAACCTAACACAACCGTAATATCGACTTCTCTGGTAGTGCCTAAGGTACGCCTTCAGGTATGTCCGGTTGTTACCATGGCGATTTACACACAGACCGCGAAAAGTTTAACACCGGAGTATGTCCTGCAAATTTCTCTTTAACAAATTTAGTAAATTCAGACAGTATCACTTCTGCGTTCTTGAGTAAGCAAAATGGATGACCAGCGTGTCTGAGTAGATTATCTTTTCATCTTTTACTGTAGTTTTCCCATGTCTCACGAAATTTAATTTCCCATACACAGACGCTGCACATTCGCCGAAATATAAATCGACGTGAATTCGGTTAAAGGTGTAGTTACAGACGCTATAAATAAGAAACTTGAAAGGAAAACACTGCGTGCGTTTTGAAGGTGTACGATAGTAGTTCTTCTACTCGAAAATAAGAATTCAATGTGTAAAAGTCTACGGGTTTGTCGAAGTATGCCCGAAACTTCAGAGAGAGAGAGAGAGGGATAGCAAAAGAGTTCAGGGTTTCAGTTTGGCCCAATTTATGTGAGGAAATTTCTTTTAGCGCCCTTAAATATCCTGTTTGCTAAAAGCAACAAGCATATTCATAAAAATTCGAAAAGGAAACATCGAGCAAGTGAAAAGGATGTATCGAAAAAGTTACAGATAGACAAATGCTTGCAAATGTTAGCAATGCTGATAGGTGCACGTGCACACACTAGTAGAGTATAGCACAGTATTCAGTTTAAGCAAACGCACGCTGCAAAACAAATAGTGTGATATCATTTGTCCTCTATCGTGAATGTGGATGCCAGAAAATATGTGCAGCATGTTCGAACCGGCAGTTAAAATTTCGAAAGCAGATATTACTGAAATATTTACAGCAGTGTTGGAACATTATCAAATTCTGATTAAAGCGTCAGGGTGACGTCAGACGGATGGCATTGTCGTGCGTAGTTTTAAACCGATTAATCTTTCTCTTAAGAGCTTCTGCGGATGTAGACATAACGATATTCTCAGGCGGAGCATTCCAAGCTCAAGGCACTCCATTGGGGTAGGACGTTCGTATATCCAACTAGTCCCTGACACGTAGTTTAAACGGATGCCTACAGGTGCGTTACGGTCGCCAACTCTAAATGTGTCCAGTCCAAACCGTGCATAATGCGGGATTTGCGCAACTGGTCGTCTTGTAGGTGTTCGTGTTTAAGGGAAGGAGATAGAAGCTGGACAGGAAGGTTAATATGGTGGTGAGGCCTGGACATTTACAAGTCTATTTGTACACCCATGAACTTTGTTCGTGGATGCTGAGAACCTTGACGATTTAGGATTGGCGTCTTGAATGACGAGCTCGATTTGCGTCCGCACAAGCGTTCAAAAGCGTTTAACAAAACAGTCTTTATCATAGGTTAAGTAAGTACGTATGACAAGGCATAATACTGACACGCTGACCACGCTGACTAGGATACTTTTGAACAGACGACGACGATTCCAACGGAGGGGAGATCCACACACCCATATGCTCATAAGCGTCCATTACTTACACTGGTATGTCATTCAGAGTGCAGACTATACACTTTGGTGATAAGGTTTCGCTGACTTGCGGAATGCTGCACTTGCACATATTAAAACGTCAAACGCTAGTCGCTAAACCATTGTTCGAGTTGGGTTGGGTTTGATTGCAAACGCTCTTCATCGGCGTCATCTCAGATGAAGCGTCAGCGCTTGGTACCCCCAGCAAACATGGGGACACTGAAATACGTTTACTGAACGCATGGTTGTTGCATATTATGAACGGAATAAGGAAGAGAACTGAGGTCAGATATTTTCTCCATCATTTTGCGAAACATTGAATTAAGGTTGGTTTACCTACTGTCGCCCGCAAATACCTTGCTACCGCCGCTATGCAGCGGGGCAATCAACGTATATTTCCAATCGGCGAACAAGCAGCTGGCTTCGAACGGGAATGTGGAAAGCACGGAAAACCGTTTGGTTATTTCGCCAGCGAGCTGCTTCAGCTGTTTGAGTAATATTTCATCTGGACCGAGCGATTTTGACTCATCCAACATCAACAGCCTTCTGTTAGCAGTTTTCCGGCAAAATGTATAGTCTTAATCGTGGAGTTTCCCAATAAGCCGAAGAAAGGAAGAGTATATTTACTTTACCTCGTACAAACGAACCTGAAAATTGTCAATGGTACCTTACCTTTTCTCAGTTTGCATTAATTTCTAATTCCTTGATATTCTTCAGTAGGGGAGTGAGATCACTATCATACGTGCGCCTTCTTATTTGCCCATAAAATAATCTCGAAGTACCAGCGCACGATTCAGCGGCTTTTTCGTACTGATGTCGCGTTCTGAGGATAAGTCGCCGAAATTGGCCTCTCTGCGTCTTGCCTGCATTTATCGACACAATGTTCCTATCAGAAGAAAATTTATTTCCTAGCCTTTTGTTTTTGTTCCTTTCTCTTTTCAATATACGCGTCAGCTACCGGAATTTATTGCTCAACCCTTGCGTGAAATGGGGCAGTAGGTTTGGAGATAAGTTTGCAACAACTCGCAAAATCGCTGCCTGTCCTCGTCTACGTTGCTGGAAAGCGTATACAAATGAAAGAGAGGCAACCGACGGTTGGTAGTAAGAGGCTTATTTTTAACGAAGACTAAGGGTACTGCAAAAGTATGACTCTGTAACAGTGTAAATTTTTCAGTTTGTTTTAATTCACCAATGAAAATATCGCGTTTGCGGATCTATAAAATGGATATCAGGTCTGTCCAGTGAGTGCATAAGTGATCGTCAAGTTTATTGCAACAGCAGGTAAGGCAGCCAACATTAGTTTGCGGTTGCGTTTTATGAGCATAACTCTGTAGTTTAAAATAGTCTGCATTTTTCTTAGAAACAAGTTCAAACAAGAAGTGCGTCTGACTACGATCGTCTTAGCAAGTGCGGCACGTCGCATTAATAGACGTTTCTTATATCAGCGATAATTAGAGCCGTATTGGCTGAAAGTTGAAATTTCACCTTCAGGAGGTTCAGAACATTTTTGGTAAACGCTGTCCTGTCTGAATGTTAGACTTGATTTTTAAATTTTAAATCATTCAAGTTAAATTTATAATCCGCTTAGCAGTTACTAACAGGATTATAGTCCAGGCCCAGATATCGATCTTCAAAAATTTACGTGCACATTTGTATAGGCAATTTTCCTAAGATAATATTTTAGAATAGTTGATAAAATTGAGGAAGGATTGGAAGTATATATTCCTCCGTATGTAATGCCAAATTAAGTACTAGTGTAGGATCTCCTACGACGAGATCCGAACAGTAAGATTAAGTAATGACTTTATGCTTGTTCACACATGGCCTAGTTAAACAGCAGTTGCTAACGGTTCTAGTTATGGTTCATAGGAACGTCATGCACACTATTAATATCAGAGATTCACTTTAATTAATCTTATGTATTGCAGATGTTAAGTGTTGATCAAAATTCAAAAGAATTACTGGATTAATGTCTTGAATTATAGTGCCTAATTACGGCTTGCCTCTGCTCACTACCATGCCTTTGATTATTTGCAGAAAGTAGCCACAATATTCTGTCCGATAAATAGTGTA